ATTGGCCACCCAAGAGTTTATCTTTTTAATAAAACTATAAAAACGGGTTTAAAGTTTATTAAAAAGATAAATTTTGATCTACGAAAAATCAAGTTAGGTTTAGGAGTCGGTTATGTGTGAAGAAGGATTAGCACCCCCATAACGCTCATAAATTGGTACCATTTAATTACGCACTATTTTTGGTGTTAGATAAAAAATGGTTTTAATTTGAAATTTAACACTAATTCCCTTCATTTGGAAAAATAAAATTTTGCTAAAATTTTTATTTAGAAATATTGAGAAAATCTTTAAGTTAAAGAATTATCTTAAAATTTTTCAACATCTAGGTAGAATTTAAAATAATTCTTTTTGCTTAAGATTTAACATAATAATCCTTAAAATGAAATAACAATCTTTATAGAAAATAATTGTTAGTGACTTTTCAACATCTAGGCAAGTACCAAGAATTATTTCTTTCGGAATGTTATTTTTATTTTATTTTATAATATCACAAAAATTTTTTTTTAAAGTATTATTCTTTTTTTATTATAAAATATTTTATCGTCAAACAGTAAATTAAAAAGAGAGAATAATACAAACAATTATCGATGATAACATGCTAACGTATGTATGCCAATGAATGTTATGTAGGATGAGATGCAATTTTAAAGTTGGATTCTTAAGTATAATGAGACCACCACGACTGTCCAACATCTAGGAAGAGTTTAGGTGCGATTGTTTGTATTTAAGATCCCAATTTACTGTTATACTTTTTATTTATTAATCTTATTATTAATGTAAATTAAGAACTCGTGTGAAAAATTTAATGAAATGGAGTTTCCTAAATACCCCATCATTTAGGCAGCATTCGGGAACAAACCATTTCATGTGAGATTTTTATACGTATCCTTAAAGTTTAGAAAAAGATTTAGGGTAAAAGTTTAGGTTTAAGTTTAGGGTTTGGGGTTTAATTAAAACGCGAACATCTCTAAAATTTTTATCATTTAGGCGGATTTTCGGAGCAAGTTCAATTTTTATAATGATTTAAAAAAAAATTAATTTAAGAAACATAGTAATTTTTTTTAATTAAATTTTTTATTATTTAAAATTTTTTTTTGTTTAAAATCTTTTTTTATGAAAACTTATCAAAATTATTAACTTATTTAGTAATTTTTTTTATAATAATAATTCTCTAACATCTAGGCGAAATTATTTCTTTAGAAAAATATTTTTTTATTCCTTCCAACACCTAAGCAGAGAAAATAAAAAGATTATTCCATTATTATTATTATTTAAATATTTTTTTAGTTATTATCCTATATTGTTTTCATTTTATTATTATTAAAAAATAATTAGATATTTATCCTAATAAATTTAAACATTTATCATGTATAAATATAAAAACTTAAAATAACAAAAATAATAGTATAAAAAAATTAGAAAAATTAAAAAAAAATTTTTTTACCTGAATCTGACCGGTCAACAGTTCGGTCAACGCTGGTCTGGGCCGGTCTGATCGGTTTGACGGTTCAATCAGCTGTTCGGTGATCCAGCGGTTCAGACCGGTTTACTGACGGTTCATTTGAACCTGTTCAAGGTTGGTTGAAGCGGACTGTCGGGTCAGGTTGTGCGGATCTCGGGTCGGGTTCGGTTCATGCGCGGAACCTCTATACTTGAGACGGAGTCGTTTTGGTCCTATGCTCAAAACGACATCGTTTTGCCCATATGTTTTCTATAAAAATCAGATTTTTTTTCCTCAGTTCATTTCATTTCACAGAAAAAAAAGGCTTTGGGGGTTCTCTGGCTTCCGCCGAAATCCAGTGCCAGACGCTGCACCTGCCACCGTGTGGGTCGTCGGTGATTGGAAAAGGGCTAGAAAATTACCAAAAATTCCTCTCGACGCCTTCTTTCTGAATCCGACCTTTGTTTGGCTTGAAAGAGCCTTGATAGTCGCGAATCGACTTTCGAAGTTTCTGATCTCTCTTTTTTTTCTTTTTCTTTTTTTATTTTTGGACGGTTTAAACTGATGATTTCTCTTTCTTGTTTCAGGCGGCTGTGGCGCTGAGGTTCCTCCTTGCGGGGAGGACTGTGTTTTTCTTTTTTATGTGTAGATTTATTTCGTTTTTTTGTTTGGGGTATTTGGGGGGGGGTTGTTTGAAATTTTGGGCTTTTTATGGGTAGGGATAGGGGTTCTGTTTGGGGTTGTTGAAAGTGTTTTGTGGGGGATAGTTTGTCTGAACTTGGTGATTTCTAGTAGGGGTGAAGTGAATAGGCTCCTAGGCATCCGATAGAGAGTTTTTGAGAGGGGGGTTCGAGAGAGATCAAGGGGAAGAAGTTAAGGGTTTTTAAGGAGCTCAAAAGGGGAACATGGGGTGGCTGTAGGCTGGTGAGCGTGGGCAGCTAGTGGTGGCTGCAGGGTGGCTGGTGCCAGGCATCAGCCGCCCTGATTTTTGCCCTTTTTGTTTCTCTTTTTTGTTTTTTTGGTTTTTTTTATATAATTAATAATAATAATAATTTTTTTTAAAAATATATTTATTATTATTAAACTAAAATGGAAACAGTAAACCCGGACAAAACCGGTGTCTACAGCTTCTAAAACTTCAACACCACTATTATGCCCAATGTGTAGTGCAACTTGACAGAAAATGGAAGCAATTATGGTTGGAACAATTATTTAATCCCTTTCCCATATCTCTCCATTGCTTTGTTGTTTGCCAACAGTCTTATGGTTGAAAACTTAATCATTTATGCTTTGTTAATACCAGGAGCCTAAGGTTTTGGATTCTGTTGGTTTTTTGGGGACATTTGTCGAACTATTTCCTTCACTCAGGTTATTGTAGATTGTGTCAGGTTTGCCAGAACTTCATATGGTTATGATTTATGGATGATGCCATGCAAAGAGATGGAGAGGGGCAAATATCAGTGGTGATTGAATCCATGGATGTCCTGCTTGCATTTCTACTTCTGTGTTTGTATGTGAATTTAAGAGTATTTTTTCTGAGAATGACATTATGTCCTTAGGTTCCATCCAAAATCAAATCATCCTCTTCACATTGGATGTTAGTTTTTTTGCTTTCTGAGAACGACATTTTACTTCCAAGCAGTTTCTGTTCACAAGATTTGATTAGTACCTCTGGATTTGATTCTTCTGGTTCTTTTACATTATTTCTTTACTATCTACTGGTTTGGCACATTTGCCTTTATGATCTGGTAACTTCTTTTTTTTTGTGTGTGTGTGTGTGTTCTGGCATTGAGAAAGATGGAACTTCTATTCATGAAAGCTGTAGGATGTTTAGTCAAATTAAACTTTGGAGCTGAGTTGGTTTTGTGATGGCTTCTACACTAGGCTAAGCAAAGAATGTTGTGTGTGATTACAAGATGCTTCATCATTGGTCCTGCTTTCTGGTGCATTCCTTGCTTATCTATTGCTATATTGAGTATCTGCTTTGCTTTCTCTTTAAGGTTCAGAAAAATAAATTCAAGTTGTTTGAGTGTGCAAGGCAGTGGTAGGAAAATCATGAAATTAGTTTTCATTTCTTGCCATTGACAGTTGAAGTTCTTGTGGAATTGTAAGAGAAAACAAGAGTGAAAATTAACTGGTGCACATTTTTCTATTTGTCATCTCTGTTTTCTGTATACAAATCTGACTGTATGTTCTTCTGAAGGTCTCCTTCTGTTTCAAGTATCAGTGCCAAGATGCTGTATGCGACATCCAAGGAAAGGTTCAGAAGGGAATTGGAGGGCATTCATTATGAAATCCAGGCAACTGACCCGACTGAGATGGATCTTGAGGTGATCAGAGAGCGGGCACGTTAAGTGATTACTCCATTCATGGGTTTTGCATGCTTAGGGAACTCACTAGAGTTTCTTTAAGGATCATTGCCTGGTACAATTAGTCGCTGAATTAAGTGCAGTTATCTGTTTCTGACACAGTGCATATGTTGTTATCGTTAAATAACACCTGCGAGGTCTGATTAGGAGCTCTGGGGTTCAAACATCTGAGGGTGGTATTGCGACTTTGGGCTCCTCGTTGCCATGATGCTTCTCAGGTGAAAATGGGTGTGATTATATGGATATTTGACTCTTATTAATGGAATGGTATTTCAATCACTTGTTCTTCTGTTTGTCTGAGCCTTTTTTGATAAAGTTTTGTAGTCTTACAGGGGCTGTTGAAATGCAAATAATTTCTACAGTCAGAGGCACAGAATCAAACATATCAACAGTCCTTTGGCATATATTTTCAACTGCTTTTGTTTTATTTGGAGTTCTGATAGTTGAAAAGAAGCAGTCTACCAACCAAAAGAAGGGTTGTTGGCCTAATTATTTCATCATGCTTTTCAAGTTAGGTTGGATTAGAATTCGAATTTAAATTATTTCGGGTTTGAGTTATTTCCTGCTGGTGCATTTTCTGACTCAAACTTTGTTTTCTAATCAAATCAGTTTGATTGAATTTGAGCTTTTTCGAATGAGCTAAAAAACTTACCCAAATTCATTTGTTCAATGTGCTTGAACATGCTTGTGTTTAAGCTGCTATTCTTTCATTTTCGTTCTATCCCAATGGAGGTCCACCTTTGTGGTCCTGTTCAACCAAAAGCTGTTTTCCCAAGCCAATACGGAGGCAAATTGCAAAGCTTATTAGAAAAGGGCAAAATCTTTCTAAATAAAGTAAATGAAATGAAATCACCATAGAACCAGTTACTTTGGCAATGAGCTGCCTGCTACTTCATGCCACATGTTTTCAATGAATTGTGCTTCATTTAAAACAGTTTTTGATCATTAAAAGATGAAACAACTGTCATACGACCAAAGCGATACAATAATGTGAATTGGATGAGACAAGGAGAGAAAGGACCCTTATCTCGAGAAGTTTAGCAGACAAGATATGTCTCCCACCATTTTCGATGCTTGTGCCATACGTGATCTTGACAAATGTACAAGGATCCACAAACCACTCCCTTGGCATAAAGACAACGCCAGTTTCATATATTCAAAGGAATGTCACTGTTGAATGCTAAGTAACGAAAAAAATCACCCTTCATGACCTTTTTTTTTTTGTCTGTTTTTGCTGTGTTTCTAGCTACTAGCTACATGGGATAAAACTGGTTGTGGTCAATTTTTTACTTTAGTTTGGTTGTCTTAAAAGATATATACCAAGTATTTGTGTTTTAGTTGTCCTTCTTTGTGGATAACATTTTTTCATGTGAATTGTTTCTCTTTTTGGTGTCTCGGATCTATATTCTTTACTCGTAGAAATCTGATCTTCCACCGTATATTGAATATTGGAAAGATCATGAACAGTGGTTTTAAGATTTGAAGAGTTTTTGCTTGTGTATTCTACTAGTTCTGGTGGCCTTTATCAAGGTCTTGGAGTAGGAGATATTTTGTATGGTTCTGGTGTTTGATTGGTGGAATTGGGGATCCATGAGACAGGTAGGGAAGAACTTATTGAAGTTAATCTGGTTTTATATCCTGGATACATAAGAGCAGCATAGAAGTTGCAAAAAGCCGGAAAGTCTGGTTCTTCTGGCTATAGCAGCAACAGGTAATTTTGACTATCATGTTTCAAGGGGCTTTTGTTGCTATTGAGATGTTTTGCAACTGTTTGGCAAATCTGATTCTGTTTCAAGTTTGTGCTATTTAGACCTTTATTGATGTTCATGTTTTGGATTGAAGGAAAGATTTAGAGATTATTCATATCTTTATGAATTTGAACACTTCAGTCTTATCTGAAAGATCTTGTCAGTTCAACATGAGTAGCAGTAAGACGATAGTCTGGTTTAGGAGGGACCTCAGGATTGATGACAATCCTGCTTTGGCTGCTGCTGCAAGGGATGGTAGTGTCTTTCCTGTCTATATATGGTGCCCCAAAGAGGAAGGTCAGTTCTACCCAGGTCGAGTATCACGGTGGTGGCTGAAGCAATCTCTTGCTTATTTGGAGCAGACCTTGAAGTCTCTTGGGGCCGAACTTGTAGTAATTAAGACCCAAAGTACACTTTCAGCTCTTTTAGATTGCATCAACGCTACTGGCGCGACTAAAGTAGTATTCAACCATCTTTATGGTATATTCTGATCAATGCTGCTTTTTTAACCGCTTTGAATTTTAATTTGCTTTATATTAATGAAGCATGTTTATCATTGAATTCTAATGTGATATCTTTCGTGGTACCCTGGAATCCAAACAATCGTACTGCAATGGCCCATATTGAATCAGGCATGCTGACTGCTTATAAGAATATTATAGTTGCTATAATCTAAGCTTCTGTTGGATGATTTATTCTTCTCCTATATTGAGTTCCAATCATGACATCATCATCGACTTACTTACAGAAGCTTGATGATAGGCCTTATAGAAGATAATTCCATTCTCAATTCGCAGCCTTTTTTTCCGCATAAAAAGAGAAAATATCAAGCAGAAATTTTGGTGAGATAAAACAGTAAATTGGTAGTGAGTTTTGAAAAAAGTTGGAGAAATGTTTAGTTTAAATTGTGTGGTTTTCAAACGCTTAAGAATTAGTTGAGAAAAACTGTTGATTAAAAATCTAGAGACATTGGAGAATGAAATTGGATGGAAGTAACGCATAAGAAGCATAATTGTCATCATGGAATTTCCTTGACATCATAATTAATGCTTATATTTCTGCAAAATAGAGAGTCTAAGAATTGATCTATTGTCAAATGCTGTCGGATTTTCTTCTTATTCCATTTCTTTTTTTTTGAGCTGTCTTTCTAAGATGGTGTCATGATTCCTGCCTTTTTCCTCCTTTTCCAGATCCTGTTTCGCTGGTTCGCGATCATAGCATCAAAGAGAAACTGGCAGAGGTTGGCATTTCTGTACATAGCTATAATGGAGATTTGATATATGAACCGTGGGAGATATATGATGAGAAGGGGCAAGCTTTTACGACCTTTGATGCATATTGGGACAAGTGCTTGAACATGCATTCGGAACCCATTTCACTTCTTCCCCCATGGAGATTGGTGCCAGCTGCAGGTATATAATTCAGAGTGTTTCTTTCGTGATAGTGCAATTGACTTCTAGTTTGGGAACTAGCTTGGTTAAAGCAATAGTACCGAAATGAAGATGGCAGATCGCTTGTTACCACCTACAAAAGTTATGAATGACCGTGTTCATTCCTAGGGGGAAGCAGAAATATGACTTTGAGCTACTGATAAACTCATTTCCTTAGGCAGATGCATATGAAGTTGCACTTCATGCAAAACAGGCAAAATGTAGGCTTATATGTATTCATGTAAGGACTGTGAAGAAAAGGAAAGGTGGAATATGTATGAAGGACCACTATATATATGTGTGTGTGTGTGTGTGTGTGTATACATGCAAAATAGTAACTAATTGCTGAATTTTTTCCTTATTAGTGACAGGGACAGTAGCAAGGTGCTCTATTGAAGATTTGGGCCTTGAAAACGAATCAGAAAAATCTAGCAATGCATTGCTTGGAAGAGGATGGTCTCCAGGTTGGAGCAATGCTGATAAGGCTCTAACTGAATTTGTTGAACAGCATCTAGTTGACTATTCAAAAAATAGGCTAAAGGTTGGTGGCAACTCTACATCACTTTTGTCACCATATCTTCATTTTGGAGAGATAAGTGTAAGGAAAGTTTTCCAGTGTGCGTGGATGAAGCAGATATTATGGAGAAGAGAACAGAACTCTCAAGGGGAAGAGAGCGTAACACTTTTTCTAAAATCCATTGGACTTAGAGAATACTCCCGTTATCTTTGTTTCAATTTTCCATTCACCCATGAGCGATCATTGTTGAGCAACTTGAAGTATTTTCCTTGGCATTCTGATGTGAACCATTTTAAGGCTTGGAGACAAGGTCGGACTGGTTATCCATTGGTGGATGCAGGAATGAGAGAGCTTTGGGCAACTGGTTGGATACACAACAGGATAAGAGTGATTGTTTCAAGTTTTGCAGTGAAGTTTCTTCTTCTTCCATGGAAATGGGGAATGAAGTATTTCTGGGACACACTTTTGGATGCAGATTTGGAATGTGATATTCTTGGTTGGCAGTACATATCTGGGAGCTTACCAGATGGTCATCAGCTAGAACGATTAGACAGCCCACAGGTGTGTGAATTCCCTAATAAATTTATAACTGGATAAATAATTAGCAATCTAATGCACAGAAAACAAACATCTCCAGTTCCTTCCATTTCGAGACCATGCATTTAACTTGTGATTTAGACTCTTTTCCATCTGATTAATGTTGTGTTTGGTAGTAGAGATATTCATCAAGTATCAGCTTTCCGAAATATAGGTTGTGGCCTGGTGATTTTGGACTGCTGTTGCAAAGTTGCAAATGAAACATATCTTTCTGCCTACACAAATAGTTTAAAAGTGCAAACTCATCCTTACAAACTTTTGAAATATGATTCTTAGCATGATTTCCAACCTGCAAAATCAAATGATATTAGTCAACAGTTGGTGAATTTTCTAATTGAGGAAAATGGCTTGTGTTGACTAAAAATAAAGACTGATTTTGTCAATTGAAACTGTAAGTTATTTTTTCCTATCTTTGACCTAATTTTATGTTGATTTTTGGAATCAGATTCAAGGTTGCAAATATGACCCAGAAGGTGAATATGTAAGGCAATGGCTGCCAGAACTAGCAAGGATGCCAACTGAGTGGATCCATCATCCTTGGGATGCACCTCTTATTGTGCTTAAAGCTGCAGGTGTGGAGTTGGGCTTAAACTATCCAAAACCCATAAAAGATATAGATACAGCTAGAGAACATCTGACAGAAGCTATATTTAAAATGTGGGAAATGGAAGCAGCTGCAAAGGCTGCAACTTCAGATAGGATGAATGAAGAAGTTTTTGATAATTCTGATGGTATCGAAACTTCCGCCATCCCAAAAGTAATCCTAAAGGAAATGTCTTCTTGTCCAACATATTCATCTAATGATCAGAGGGTGCCATCATTTCAAAATTGCAATAATGGTTCATTGTATGGGAAGAGAGCAAGATATGTAGAAGAAGAAAAGTTGCATGCAGATAAATTGAATTATCACAATAAAGATGCAGGGACCTCGAGAGGAGAACAAGACTTATGCTCGACAGCTGAATCTTCAGCATCTAAGAGGCTGAGTACTAGCAGGACGTCATTCTCCGTTCCTCAATCTTGTTCTTCTTCAGATGGCAGGCCATTGCAAGAATATGAATCTTCTGATCTGAAGTGATCATGGCAAGAAAAGATTGACTTGGAACAGAATTCAAGCAAAAATGGTAAATAAATGCTGTTAATTTACAGTTTGGCTATTAAGAAACTGCAGACTTTGCATCCATTTCTAGTTCTTTTGATTATCTGTATAATACATGAGATTAATCCAACCTGCAAACTCAAGCCTTTTTCTTAACCTATGGTGACATGAACTACAATCAGGATAGATGTTAGTGAAATTAGTGTGCTTTCATGTACATGACAATTACAAATTATTGGATGATGCTAAGCCATGACCTTCAACAATATTTTGTAATTTCCTGTAAACTACTCTTCAAGAAAAGAAAATGGCTAAGTTGTTTTGGTGAGTAATGTGCATGGGGAATTTGATCTTCATTTTATTTATTTGGGGCTATTCTAAATACTTCCTTTTATCATTCAACAATTTGAAAAAAGCAATAAAGCACAGTTTGGTTGGTTATGGGCAATGTTCTACTGATCAATAAAATCAAAATGGTCATCATTTCATGAATGCTGCAGCTTTATTCTGTTTCATTTAGGCTTGACTAACTTAAATGTTTCCTATCATATGCTTGTGTTCTAGTCAGCTGATTATATATCAATATTCCCTTTTAGCTATTGCTCCAAGTATAGAACGATCCACCGAATATGTGGGGTTTCAGCTTATGTTTAGTTGCTCATGTTTGTACATAATCCTGCAAACGAGTTTTTTACTATATGTAATCAAGGTCACATCTTGTAAGCAAATAAATAAAGCTGTCAATCTGTTATCTACCCTTATACCTTGATGACTGTAATCCAGGATTCGATATAGTCTAGAAAGCTGTTTTACATTTGTCAAAGGGTTGATCGAATTGGTAAGAATCGAATACTTCACTTATAAGGTTTAGACTTGATTTTCGCTACCCACAATCTTTTTATATGGGCAATTTATAAATCTAACGTAAGTGTTTTAGGGATAATGTTGTCTCCGACTTTAATTAAAGTTCATTAATGATATCATAATCAAATGTTGAATTAGACATAAAATTACAAAACTTCATGATCATCAGCTCGCTTAAAAAAGATTTTTTTTTCCGGTAAGCATTTATACTTTAATTGACAGCTAGAGATGTCGGGATTAGAATCTTGTTTACATTAAGGATATTGTCGGAGTTGATTAAAAAGAGAATTTGAGAATGTCTTATGTTACATCATTTAATTGTTAATTTTTTAACCAAAAAAATTAAATTTTAAAGATAATAATAATCAAATCGTGAGTTTTTATAATTAGAAAATTAGGTGATAAAAGATAGCTTAAAAGTGAATGATTTAAACGTTTTACCTTATGGTAAATGGAAAATATATATTTGAAGTTTGTAAATTATAAGAGAAAGTAGATCAATAATTTATATATTATATCATATAAAATATTGATAATTTATATATTTATGTTGTGTTTTATATGAAAATTATGTAAAACAATCATGTTGATATGAAATATATATTTTTTAATTTTATTAAATTTACATATAATTTTTGTTAAAATTTAACTCATATTATTTTTATATTATATTATTATATCATATTTTAAATTGTAAGGCTTAAAAAATAATACAAATATGGTTAAGATCCTTGAAAATGTTGTCAGATCATCATACATTATAAAAATTCTCTACCTCCTATGAAAATACAATGACAGAAACCAATAAATAAGCATGCAAAAATTAGAAAACCAATGGTGGCGGCGTACATATTTCCCTAGCTGCTGTAGCAGTACCTAAATGAAAACCAAATTCATGTTGTTCATTTAGCTTCTTTAGTATGAAAACCAGACGATATTTTACACCACAAATGATGGTATGGTCTGTCTGCAAAAAAAAAAAAAAAAAAAAAATCCCTTTCTGCACCTTCCCTAAGTTTAATTTTGAATGTTGGTTTGTCACTCAAATAATTATTACAATGCCCCATATAGCACTGGAACGAAACCAATAACACGTGCAATACAAAGTTCTTTGTTGGAGTTCAACACATAATATGTTTTCAGACACTCAAAAGAGAACATAACATTAATTAACTTAAATGATAAGACAAACCAGAAAATTAGTAAGAAGTGGAAGCAACATCCAAAGATCCAATGTTTAGGACACATTATCAACAAGTACAATCCCTAATGTGATTTGGAAATTGATACTAATTAATAAGAGATTACGATGCTTGATTAAACTCGTACACTTCTGACATCGTTACTAGATTGCTGCTCAGGTTGTGTTTCAGTTTCATGTTCTTGTTCAGCTTCCCCAGATATTTCTTCCAGTGACTTTCCTTTCGACTCCGGCACCAAAAATGTGAACAACATCCCCAAGAAATTGATGAAACCTAAAATTATAAGTGCTTTCTTCACTCCAATGCTATCTGCAGCGTACAAAAAGCCAAATGCACCCACAATTGCACCTGCCTTACCTGATGCAGCTGATATTCCATGGCATGTTGATCTTAACCTTGCAGGGAAAATTTCAGCATGGGCTACAAATGTAGTGGCATTTGGACCGAAGTTTGCGAAGAAGAAGGTTAAAGAGTACATAATAACGAACCCGATTCTGTTGTTTGGTAGAGTCCAATGATGGTATGGAATTGCCAACGCAAACATGAACACTGTCATGAAGAAAAATCCCACCATTTGGATTTTGAATCTCCCCATCTTATCAATCAATGCTACGGTAAACCAATATCCAGGAACAGTGCTGCATAGTGCAATGAGAGTTTGAGCTCTTGAAATTTTATAAACTTCTTCAAGTGCGTTCATGGTTTTTGCCTTTGGAATCCAACCAATTGCACTAAAGATGTCCTTTTGAAACAGGTTCTGACTGTAGAAGGCAATATCCAACAAGAACCAAGTACCTGCGGTACCAAGCAAGTGAAGTCCACGTCGACGAAGAAATTTTGTGGTGAATAAACCAAAGTCACTCCCTTTATTCTGTTCTAGTTTCCCCTGTTCGGCTTCCAAATCAACCTGAAGAACTTTTGACATATCTGCAGCAGCCTGTTTCGCATTCTTGGCGACTAAGGCAGTGTAACGAGCAGTTTCAGGCATCTTCATGCGCCAGTAATAAGTAAGTAAAGCTGGGAGTGCTCCAAACATCAAAATGATCCTCCAGACATAATCAGCTTCTGGCATGGTTGATTCATTTGCATCCATCTCATAAGTTGGTGCAGGGTATTTGGCCTTAAACCTGCAGAAACTATAATAGCAACCATCCCTCCAGCCAAAATTCCAAAACCTTGCATTGCAAAAACAGCAGCAATGAAAGCACCACGAGTTTTTTTGTTAGCGTATTCGGACATGATGGTAGCAGAAAGAGGCTAGTCACCACCAATACCAAAACCAAGCCAGAAGCGAAAGAAGCAAAGGGTAGTCATAACAGATTTAGGGTCACGACCGAAGGAAAGGCCAGAGGCAACGGAACGGATAACCATGAGCAAAAGGGTCATGCCATAAACACGTTTTCGTCCCATCTTGTCGCCAAGAAAACCAAAAAAGAGCTGGCCTGCAAGGGTACCACAGAGTGCTACACCATTGACAGCAGCTGATATATTAGAAGGAAGATTGCCAGGGGTAGCAGCACCTTCCTTGTGGTAATATATGCGACCAAGCAATTTGGTGACCAAGGAAATGCAAAACAGGTCATATGCATCAGTGAAGAATCCCATGCCAGCAATGATAATTGCTGTGAAATGATACCATTGTGTTTTGGCTACATCAAGTGCATTAAGCACTTGCAGTGGATCCTTTGCCATGACAATCCTTCCTCAGAAGTCTTTCCCTGAAAAATATTGCAACAGATCAGGAAACATCAATTTATGTGGAGTAATATAGTACAAATAAAAGAAAAATGAAAACACAGTCTCTTAGTACTCTGGTATCTCAAAACCATCTCAACTCAAAAATAAATAAATAAATAAATAAATAACATAAAACAACTGAACCAAACACAACCTTAGGTTGATTTGGCAATATGATAGGACTGATTCTTACGGTACCATGATATCATTTTACGACTCATTTTATGACTGAACCCTAAATGAATTTATAAAGATTTAATCATAAAACATAACTGTAATGTGATCTGAGTCCCTCCCATTATGTTATGAAATGAACTCTTAAATAAAGAAGTAAAGATTTAGGTTTTTGACCCAAAGGAGATAAAGAAACAAAACAAAAACTCCATGATCAAATATCATCTAAAAAAATCAATCCAAACTCATTACTATTCATACCTTAACAGCAAAAAGCTTACGTTTAATGTTCAAACAAGTGAACAAAGAGAGAAATAACTGAGGTGTTGACAAGAATAAGAATAAGAACCAAGTCTAGTACTAAAAGAAACGGCCTTTTTCAATGCTTTAATAAGCTAATGAAGAAGAAGAGATGGATTTGGCATGGAGAGAAAGAAGTTACTTCCGTATTTAAGTGCAATGGACACTCTTTTTATTTTCCATTTATCCTCGAGGAGTTTTAAAAGTAAAAGGAAACAAAAGATGACAATCGTTTTTGTTTTTCAATGTGGCATAATCTCTATAATTGCTCCACATTTTTCTACATTTGGTTAATTTTTCAGAAAATTTTTTTCATCTTTGAGTTTTCCAATTTGATTTAGGTTTTAAATTGCTTAATTAGATTTGTGATAAGGGATATGAGTATGAATACTCCTTTTTTCTTTTTTTTTTTTTGAATTAGTCTCTTAAGATTGTGGTTAGTTTAGTGAGTTTTTTTTAGAGATTACATCATGATTAATAAAAATCACACATATCCGTTAAGATATAATAAAGAAATTTAAAAAATAAAATATGTGATAGCTTCTTAATTTAGCTTATGAATAAACTTGGATCATGATGAAACAAAATAATTATTTTTTATTAAGAACCAAAGAATTAATTTTGGAAGATGATATTCATTTATGGGACCAAGTTCATAATCTAGTTTAATCAAAATAATTATACATCAAAATCTATGTTTCAAATTTAAACCATTATTCACAAATATTTTATACATTATTATATTTTGCTCTTGTATTCCAACTCATGATTGACAACATCCATTTCATCTTTAAGGAAATTTCTGATATGAGGATTTAATTCCAAAACTTTCAAGTAGCCAGTCAATTGGTGGCCATTGCCGAGACTGTATGGAGGATGGCTCTTTGGTTTAGATCGAAAAATTGGTTGGGAAAACATATTAAAAGCTGAGTTATTTGAATTCTTCATGGATTGAAATTGGCTTGGGAGCACAGATTTAGGAATCTTATTTTGTAGTTGATTCCCTCTTGGCAGTCCAGAAAATAATCCAATCGAGAGATTTATGCATGTCAGAAATTGAAGGTTAAGTGAAAACTGAAAACTAAGCCCCCAAAAAGAAAAGAGTTATATGAAATTTTTTAGATAAAATTTATGAATTTTTCATTAAAAATGATTCAATAAAAATTAAAATTAAAAATCAAATTGATGGATGATGGAATTAAATGAGAAATTAATAATATATAAAAAATTATTAAAAATATTATTTATAATTCAAATTTGATAAGTACTTATTCAA